CATTTGGTTCCTGAGTTATGATTTTTTAAATAAACATTTTTGATGGCATACCAAGGGACATGATGTTGTCATAGCAACGTCTTACGTCATTTTTTCATGCTCATTGTGATATTTGGTTCATAGTCTTTGGCTTTCCGGGTTTACTTGCTGTGATATTATAGCCATATTAATTTTTTTAGTTCATAATTGTAAGTGTATGTGAAGGACAAAACACTTTCTAACCTCCTTAAAGTGTAGGCTCCATCCGTCTTGCTCTTGCACACATACGACCAACCCTTGACGACATTCACAGCACGTATTGTAGTCTATTGTAATAATCGTAATGTAAATCTTTCATGATTCAGATTGTGCTGAAAAACTATTATAGATGTTGGCTCACCTATTCATCGGCCTTCAGCTTGCTTTCAGTATAGAGGACTTGCCTTTGACTGATATGCTAATAAAAAATCATGTTGCAAGCGTATTTATCAAGAACTTCCAAGCAGTTAATAATTACTTAATATGGATACCTTTATTTCAACAGTGTAACTAGATCATCAAGAGTGTCAAGGCTTTCTGCTTACTGACGCATTGGACGCGTGTGAATCGTGATAAGCAACTGGAAAAAAAAATCAGTCACCGGTCATTACTTAACAAAAGATCTAGAATTAAGACTGCTGATATAAGACTGAAACAGCGGAAGGAATCGTTTGCATGGTTGGGTCAATGCAAAGTATTGTTGACTGTTTATGACTGGAGGGAAGCTGCCATGATGGAACGAATTGAGTGAAGACAGTAAGTATACAAACATCTTGTTTTCAGTGAATTCGTATTTCAATTTCTTTCAATTTCTAATTGAAATAAATATAATCAAGCGTTGATTATATTGCTAATTAACCGTTGACAGAAACTAGATTGTTCATTTTTGTATTTTCTTGTCTATAACAGCAACTATCCGTGCCGATTGACAATAGAATAGACGTTCTATATTTTTCCATATAAACCATCATATATGTGTAAATATATATATCGTGCCACAGTATTTGGAAACTGTATCTAATCAATCATGCAGCTTTAAATGATATCGAATTTTGCCGAAGTAATCACCCTTCGGCTACTCTAGCCCCAGTCAAATTTGCTAGAGACGAATGACTTAAGCTATTCGATGGAAAACTGTCGCCTAATCAAGTAGCTTAGCATCTGACTGAGACTGACGCGGCGGCCTCAGAACCCTTTTCAAAACACTGATGTACTAAAATAGACGTAATATAAGACTTCTACTTATATTTTCCTACTTTATTAAATTATCCAATTCACATATCAAGGGATTTATCTGTCTCAAACTTTTGACTGTCTGAAATACGGATAAAAATGCCTAACGAAAATTGGACTCTTTAGTACTAATCAAGAGAAAATTTGATTATCATTAAGATTTTTTTATTTTACAGCCGCATTTTAAATATATTTTTAAAGTTTAAAATATGATGCGCGTGCTATTTTTTTGGATAAAAATATTTGAAATATAATGCGCGCACTGATTGGCTGGCTACCGTGTTTATAATAGAGAACAGAGACACGCTCAGGCAGAATCTTTGAAGGATATTTATAAAAGAWATATATATAGAACGGCTGCTTATGCCTCTTTTTCGTGCTATAAGCACTCTGTAAGCTGTAGAGCACTCGCAAAACGATACAAAAGAAATAATACGAAAGGTAGAGAGAAGCACTTGGCTAAGCCTTGTGTTGCTAATACTGCTTCTTGTGCTCTAAAGCTCTCAACGTATACATGTCACATACAGTAAAGAGACATGCGCGCGATCAAACATCACTGTTAGGCATATAGGTGTTCATACATTTACTGTATTTTATCAACCTCGACTTGCAACCATTTCGTGGTCACTTGAGTATATTCGGGAAAGGTCTATTTTTTTCATACCATGTTTCAATAAAAATCTTTCCACTCCCTCCAATCGTTTGACAGCTTGATCCAGTATTTTCTTTTCTTTAATTCCTGACCTCGTTATCATCGAGTGATTTTTTGATGATGGTCAATGATGATAGACCCAATTAACAGTACTAAATCTTATCTAACCTTAAATAAAACTCTCTTCAATGGGAAATTGATTTAAAAAGTAGAGAGGTTCAAAATTAATCTTCTTGAAATAACAATATAAATAAATTAATACCGATAAAACGATTTGAAATATCCCTTTTTGTTCGTTGCCATGACAAAAGGAGTGACGTCCGTAAGACTAGCGTGTTTGCCTGTACAGGGTAAGAGAGGAGTCATAGTTTGCATGTAAAGCAGTTGTTTCGCTCCTTTGTTCATAACRCGAAGGAGGGGAATATTTTTCTCGCAGCTGCGATTGCCAAGTACGAAAGGACACTGAGCACCAAGACCTTTGAAGTACAGTTCTGAAGAAGTCTGTGAAGTAAGGACACCATCGAACTAAATTGATCATTTATAACTAACTTTTCCTTGTTTTACGGGGGTAACACTATTATAGCTGGAGTACATAGCAAATAACCCCTTGTTCTATCATCATATTAGAAAATAGATGTTGATTTTTACAGACGCGGAGGAAAATCGCAGAACCCACTTAGAGAAAAACCTTTCAGTAGTGAGATTCGGCGCTTTAGCAGAGTACACTACCTATGCTTAATATTCTATTTTGCTTCTCAATATACTGCTCGCTATCGGTATTTTAAAGAGAGGCTAAATATCTTCTCAACTGTAACGCTTCCGTTTAATTTCGCTTCATAAGGCAACTGGAAACATTAACATCATATCCTGGATTTTAGATACATCATTACTCCGAGTTTGCTGGACGGTTTTTGTTTATTTTTACTTAAAACCTTTGTTTTTCTTTGTCGTTCGCTTTGCAAGCTGCTATTTAACTTGAATTTTAGTCTTCTTCTTAACCGTTTTGGGATTTTTCGTTCACTTTGCTTCCTAGTCTGCACATACACATACTGATATTTCCCACTTTCAATGGATTTTAGACTTGTGTCGGTGAATCAAATACAGTCAACTCCCGTTACAGCGGAAACCCTCGTGACCGTCGTCATTTAATTTGTCGTTCATAATAGCGAAACTTAATTACGGTCATATCTTTGTCGATCAGTTTCTTTTTTTTTTTTTTTTTTTTTTTTTTTTTGGGGTTTTTTTTTTTTTTTTTTTTCGGCAGGGATTTTCTGCTGTTCTTAATAGCGAAGTGCCCTTAATATCGGTGTGTGCGCAAGATGAGAGTCGCGATTGTACTTGACAAGTACCGTTTTACGGCATAGAGTTGAGTTGATCTAAGTCAGGGCATGGCTAACTCACAGATTAAACCCTGAAACAGCCTCTGGGCTGATCTCAGACCATAATTACCTCACAGCTCGAAATAGCCATTTAGATCAGTGTTAGGTTTTGCGGAAGTAGGGAAACCTTAGAACTCGGAGAAATACCTTTTAAAGGACAGACGTCAGTAAGGACATTGGTCGAGTAAGAAACTTCTAGTGACAACCACACAGGCTAAGGAAAGGTTTTGTGTTCCTTCTGGCACGGACTTATTTGTGAAGGACGATCAACACCCTTAACTTGTGACTAGCTTTTATATAAAAGAATTGAATCAATCAATCCATTCAGTTTAATTATCGAGCCGTTTGAAAGACAAATTGATAAACTTAGGACCCCCTTAGGATAGGTTTGCAAGCAAACAAACAATCAGTATTCAGATCAAGACAGAACTAGTTATAAATACAGCTAAATGAAGTCGCAAACAAAATAACTAACTGTGCCTTAGTAGGGAGCCGAAGACGTTTGACGGAAGATTTTGATGTGTCCGCAGCAGACGAAAAATGAACCACTTTATTAAAAGCTTTTTTCTTGAGAAATTTTAAACGATTTCCTCAAGATATAGATCGATTTCTTCAAATAACAAGCCAATTCAAAGATTGAGACGAAGTTTTGCGCTCATTGACCCCGCGATGTTTTCACGTGACCCTACCCCCTTAAAACAAGCAGTTATCTCCCCTGCTCGCATGCCATATGAACTGAAACATCACCTCCTTATTACTTATATCGTGGTCTTCATTTCATTTTCAGATGTTCATTTTGACACAGCTGCTCGCTTTAAGGGGGTAGTGTCACGTGACCTGTTAGTGCACATGGTCAAGTTTGAATGTCATTTTCCATCTCCCGCTTTGACAGCAATGATGTCGCAGTGCCTAAAAATGTGAAAAATGATTTTGACTTCCTGAAACGCAATTAGAATTGTGCAAAACATTTTGATTAATGCACTTCCTCTTGAACTTCAAGAACAGATTATTCATTGAAAGAACAAATACATATGAAGATCATAAGAGAACTTTATGAGTTGACATATGAAACTTTTAATTTTGTACTAGAATTAGAAAAGATTATGGTGAGGGAATTCCAGGATGTCTGGCTTGGGATATTGTATATCATCATCAGTAAGATCAATCAATCAATCATTTTTATTACTTATACTATAAATATTTACACTGCACAATAGAAAATTAATACGAAAAAAAAAAATAACTATAAAGCTAATCTAGTTGAATAACAATGTCCAAAGAATATTTCTGCATGTAAATCGTTGGACGTTATTGCAAGGGTAATGTACGGATAACACAATGACTTCCAAAAGCATCCAGATCGAATAGTGAATGGATGGCTGTACTTTCAGCTGGTTTTCTTGTTGTTATTATCAACTAGTACTATATAAAATTTTAGATTTAGTCTTGAAATTTATTGTCGAAACGAGTGGTCTTAGCTAGCAGGTCTGTCATTGCTAAAAGGATAGATTTTTTTTACAACGGTTTAGAGCTGCGCTTGTTATGTTTGACTTGGTCTGGAAAAGTCTGTTTGGTCTGGAACAGGCACCAGAAGTTTTGTGCGGAACAGTTTTTTATTTGTTTCTGCTCAAGACTAATTTTACCTCGACTAATCTTAGGGTATAAACTACCTATGTACAGCAAACGACTTTTATTATCTTGGCATAAGATTTGTTATGACTTCGAACTCCTCAGTATTCACGAATTCTTCCTGGGGGAACTGAGAACCAGTAATTAATATTCATTAAATTAAAATAACTAGCCAATAGGAAAACTAGATGTCAATCAAGCTTAAGGTTGGTATTATCCTCAAAAAGTATAATGTGTTTTGCTTTGCCATAAAGGCGAGTAACAAAGATAGAGATCGATAGAACATTGTGACAGCCGCTTCAAAAGACGCCAACGAACCATTAGCACGATCTGCACCGCTACTAACTGAAAGTAAATTAAAACTYTTTACCTACAACAACAAACTTTGTGGAGTTGTTCAAGCGCTTTTATCCCTTCATAAATCATAAGAAACACGGGTCATTTTGGTCGATGCCTAGCCGCATCTGAAAATCGAGCTCTTGTTATTTATGAAATAAGTAGTTGAATACCAATGCGCATGCGTATGTTTTTTCTATCTTTTTAGTAGTCTGTTTTTACGCATTCCCCCCCCCCCCCNGTCATTACCTGAGAGTCGAAGAAAAAAGCAAGAACTTGCTGCATTTTAGCTATCAACTTTTATATAAAATCACATGACCTAAAGGCAACATTTAATTGTTCTCGAATCTGGTACACACTTATCTGACCTTGGTTATGTATATATATGTGTGTGTTAATCTTTTTTTTTTTTTTTTTTTTTTTTTTTTTAATTTAATGGTTGGCGGAAAATGATGAGCAAAAGCTTAGCGAGTGTTTTATTAAAATTGTATTTGTCGACGGCGGCTACGAAAAAGCTAGGCTAGACGGCGAAAAACAAACCACTCCAATAACAAAATATAATAAGCTGTAAGAGCATTAGGGAGACGTTTTTGGTAATTGGGCCTTTTTGCGCTGAATTTGCATTTCGAATGAATTTGAAGCTATAAAAGAAAAGAGATTCTAAAGATTGGCTTATGTTCTTAATACTTATGGAATTGTATTTCTTTCTTTAGTTTAAAAGAGGCTGAACATAACGAAGAGCTCGATTTGTTGGAGGAGAAAAAATGAGGCACTTATTGTTGAACAACACCACGTATCTACCCCCGGCCAAGGGAGCGGCGTGTGCTGCAAGTGCTACTGACACGATGTTCGTCAAAGCGTTCAAGACAATTTTACTCCTGCTTATCATGGTGGCAGCGCTTCTTGGGAACTTATTTATAATTATTATCGTTTACAAGAAGAAAAACATGCGACGAACAACCAACATCTTCATTGCCAACATGGCAGCATCGGATATCTTCGTCGCTGTTGTTGTTATTCCTCGGATTCTCGTAGAGCTTTACATACAGCCACGTATCTGGCTCATTGATGGGATAACTGGAAGCTTTTTATGCAAGTTTTGCTTCTTCTTCGCAGATTTTTCCGTTTGTATTTCAATCATAAGCCATGCTGTCATCGCTGTGGACCGCTTCTGGGCAATAGTTTATTCTCTTCGTCAGTCACCCATATCTGCGGCTCGCAGGAAATACCTTATAGCTCTGATATGGGTGTTTAGTTTCCTACTTTGTTCACCGAATTTATACATCTACAGAGTTTATCAAATAAATGGAACCAATTATTGTGTTATCGACTGGTCGCCATTGGACAATACCACGTCGAAGAAAGCATTTATTACAGTCATCCTAATCTTTGTATTCTGTATTCCCGTACTCCTCATGATGGTGTTGTACTCATGGCTTGTTATATCTCTCAAGACAAAACAAAGCTTATCCGCTCAAACATCACAAGTGCGCAAGCAAAGAAGGAAAGAAGATATCCGTGTCTTTCGTAAAGTCATTGTCATGGTAACAGTGTTTCTATTTAGTACTATACCCCTCGTGGTATTGGCAATGCTGTCTTATTACATATGGGATAGTAGACTTCCGTGTGGGGCGTGGAGCTTTGCGTTTATTGCACATTTATTGTTTCTATCCAACTGTGGTATCAACCCTTGCTTGTGCATCGCCCTTCACGAGAGCTATCGACACTACATCCGTAAACGCTTCTGTGCATGGCGGAAAAAACTACTTATTACTGCATCATCACAAACTGCAAAAACTTATTCATTAAGACAATATGAATTAACTGCTAATGGTGATGGATCGCGAAAAGCTTCTAGATCTAGGAGCGAAAGGAACGGGAAAGGCATTTTTATTGAGCTCGATCCTCGGAAGCTTGTTGTCGTTTTTTAGCAAATGAAAATTTTTTACCAACATTAATGTCAACTCACCATGGATATAGTAAATGGCTTTATCTGTAGACCAATTGCACTAGGTCCCTTGGAGCTTGGGGCCAAGATAATAAAAAATATTAATATTTAACAAGAATGTCATCAATCAAAAGAAGGAAAGTCTTTTGTTTTGCCCCCCCAGATCGGGAACTAGAGCGAGGGTTAAATGGCAGAGAGTGAATTTCTTTTGATGCAAGTGTGAGTTGTTACAGCAGATGAACACTGTATTGAAAACTTGTCCGTGTGCAAAATACGGTTTAATAATACCACATCTATAGCAATGATAAAATGGTAAATTTTACACCGTGAAAAGATGAAAAAACTTTCTGACGTTTCGGACGCTAGTCCTTCGTCGGAGTAAAACATCTATAGCGCTAACAGTAACTAATGACTAATAATAATAATAGAATAGAATGATACTTGTTCCTTAAAGATAGATTATTTGAAGAATTATTTTCAGAACGAGACAAAAAAATACAACAGAAATGACAATTTTGGCATATATGAAGTGCTTTTTTGTATTATTTTCAAGTTCGTAAACCAAGGTACGATTTGTACATTCTTACACTGCGTATGCTCGATGATTGCGAATTGATTTTAGATTTTATTTCTCATAATGCACTCAACAAAATTACTCGATTCTGATTGGACAAGAGGAGTACAATTAATTCCCAAATCGTACTCCATAGAGTCCCAATTAGTAAGTCCCAATAAAGTTGCTCAATTTTGTTGAGTTTATTATTAACAAGAAATCGCACGATCTTCTCGTACAATTAGGAATTGATAGATACTCGTGACGTTTTGAAAGTTCTGCATTGAACTCGCCTAAAAGGCTAACCAATTTTTAGAACTTTCAAAACATCACTCGTACCTATCAATTCCGAATTGTACTCGAGATCGTGCGATTTCCTATACAAAGAGAATGATACGTGGTAGTCTAATAATTTCTAACGCTGTTGTGAGCACCAATTTGTACGTGTGCGTACATAACGTTACCAATCACAATGACATGAAAACATCAACCAATAAGAGGTTGTTTTCGCGCCATTAACATGACGAACAACGGGTGGGCTATCACTGACGGCAATCACTGAGAAAGGCACAAAGTCGCTTTCTATTTTTAGTGGGAAAGCTTGTTGTCGTTTGATCGGCTTCATCTCTACGCGCGTAGACCGAAAAGGATCATGGGGATAATTGATTCACAGTTACTAGCTGCCGCAACCATGTTGTCTAACACGTCTTGAGCTAGCTTTTTTCGATCCCATTTAATTTGCTAAAATCATGCCTCCAGCATACGGTGAAAATTTAAACTGACGAGCAGTTTGAATGACGCAAGTTCTGGGTAATTTACTCGTTATCCATTTCGGTCTAGGCGCGTAGGGATGATCCGATCAACGACAACGCTTAGTCAAAGGACTGTATACACACACACACACACACACACACACACACACACACACACACACACACACACACATATATATCCAAGCACTTGAAAAATAATAATAAAGAAATGAATGAATAATCGAATAAATAAATGAGTAAAATAGATGAATGAATGCATGTTTAGATGGGTCCAAAGCAATGGGAGGGAATGGATGGGATTGATGGGTGGGTGGATGAGAATCAATGACATAAAGCTATCTATCAGCCAATGAGAAGTTGTTTTCGCGCCATCAAACATGACAACGATGGCTCACTTGTCAAGTGCCACAGGTACATTGAGAAGTATAAGCTTGCAAAGGCGCTTGATGTTTTAAGTGGGAAAGCCGTGTTTTGTAAAGGTTATAGAAAATGTATCTATCTAGATTAAAAAAAAGCTTACCGCCCTTGAGATTATTAGACTATTTTCTAAACCTTAAAAAATGGCACAAGCTTATTAATTTTTCGAATTCTGTGAACCTCAAGATTTAAATTTCACTTGAAAATCTAGATCGAACTGTCGATGAAAATAAACAATTGATTTTAAAGTATTATTTTTAGAATATTAAAATATTAATGAAAATTACGAGAGCCATTGCTATCAACCCTAATGGTTTCATGCATTTCACTTAAATCAAACTCTTTACTTGTTTTGGCCAAACGCGACATTACACTTGCTTTATTTCTAGATCTTCTTAGAAGTTTTTCAGATTGAAGTGAGAGCAGATATGTCCGCAGGGCTCGGATAAGTTTTAAAAAAATTACTGTCGCGTTCTTATCTCAGTCTGATGTGGGAACTCCTTGAAATGGTTTAGAAATAGAAAATGAATAATACGAGATTTTTGCCTACATTTTCTATTGTCTGGCTGTAGAAAATATTATTAGAAGTTTATGCGAACAAAATTATTTGATTCTTCGTATTGACTCATACTTAATACATTAAGTCTTTCGAATTACTGACTTGTTCATTTATTCATTCATTCACTCACTCACTCACTCACTCACTCACTCACTCACTCA